CCCCCCCACTAAATTCAATTCTCTCCTGGAGAACGTCTTCGTGAGCCTCTCATGATTTCAGGATAGTTGAAACCCTCTTGAACACTGAGAAAGATTGCATATGAAATTCTAATCACGAAAGGTGTTCCCCGAGGGGATACATACCTAGAGTTTGTTTTGTGAAGCACGTCAATTCTCTCCTGGGGAACGTCTTCGTGAGCCTCTTATGGTTTCAGGATAGTTCAAATCCTATGATGCTCCGATTCAATGCTCACCAATGATCTGAGCCATGGGGCAAGTTTGTTCCCGAAAGCATTGCGAAGGGTTCTTCCGGAAAATTTCTTGAACACTGACACTTCTACACTTACACTTACACACTGACACTTCCACACTTGCACTTGAACACTGACATTTCTACACGTACAGTTGGACACTTACGCTTCCACACTTACACTTGAACACTGACACTTCTATACGTATCCCAGTGTAAGTGGAAGAGTGAAAGCATCCAACGGCAAGTATCCAAGTGCAAAAGTAAAACTTGCACGGGAGATGTCCTAATGAGTATGCAAGTGTGAGTATGGAAAACTTGCACGGGAGATGTCCTAATGATAACTTGCACGGGAGATGTCCTAATGAAAAACATTTCCCCATTTTATAAATTCTCTCTTAAAGGCGGAGGGTGGGACGAACAGCGTCAACCGAAAATGTAACCCTCTGCGGAGATCCTGCGTGTCGAGTGCGAGAGTGGTCCGGTGTGCGCGCAACCCTCTGCGGAGATCGTGCGTGTCGAATGCGCGAAATGCAGGCGAGAGTGCGATTTGTCCAGTGTGCGCGCAACCCTCTGCGGAGATCGTGCGTGTCGAGTGCGTGAAATGCAGGCGAGAGTGCGATTTGTCCTGCGCGCGGGCAACCCTCTGCGGAGATCGTGCGTGTCGAGTGCGCGAAATGCAGGCGCGAGTGCGATTTGTCCGGTGTGCGCGCAACCCTCTGCGGAGATCGTGTGTGTCGAGTGCGCGAAATGCCGGCGAGAGTGCGATTTGTCCCATCCCGGCGCAACCCTCTGCGGAGATCGTGCGTGTCGAGTGCGTGAAATGTAGGCGAGAGTGCGATTTGTCCGGTCCACGCGCAACCCTCTGCGGAGATCGCGCGTGTCGAGTGCGCGAAATGCAGGCGAGAGTGCGATCTGTCCGGTGTGCGCGCAACCCTCTGCGGAGATCGCGCGTGGTCGAGAGTCCAATAGAGGTCGCTGCGACCGGCCCGCGTGAGTTTCAGCGCAAGATTTGGGTGCGTGCTGGGACCGAGCTCCCCCAAATTTATTTGACACACGCACTCCTCAAGACAGGATCCATCTTTAAATTTGGCAGAAACGTTGGCCTGCAAGAACTCAATCTTGTGCTTTCAGCACAAAATTCGGGTGCGTGCTGGGGTCGAGCTCCCCCAAGTCTATTTGACACTCGCACTCCTCAAGACAGGATCCATCTTTAAATTTGGCAGAAACGTTGGTCTGCAAGACCTCAATCTTGTGCATTGGAATGCGGTGGAGCCCATTGACCAAATCCAGGGCAATTGCCCTTTCTTCGTGACATGTATGTCGCACCTGCGCATCCACACTGTCACTGCGAACAGTGTGCGGTGGACCTATTCAGCGTTGCGCGGACGCAGCGAGAGAGGTGGGCGCTCCTGCGCCAGACTGTTGCGCTGCCGTGTCATCTGCGCGTGGACGTCTACAGCCTGCGCAGAGACACAGACGCAGATACACACATAGACACGCACACAGAGACCCACACACGGACTCGACACACTAGACTGAACACGTCACACTTAACACAAAACTCACATTAGACCTGGAGTGGCACCGAGTCGTTCCAGCCGGACGTCGTTCGGCGGAAGGACAACAAGGACGTTGCTAGTCATATTTTCGGGGAATCTTTCCCGTATACACAGGCTAGTCGCGAGCTGAGCAGAGAGCGCGCGAAGATATAGGCAATGGCTGCTGCGTGTCACCTGAAGCTACTTGGGCACGTTTTTGTTTTTTGGGACAGTCGATGAGAAAATGACCAGTATAGTGGTTGGTGAACTACATCTCAAGTGAAGAAAACGTTACCTGGAGAGCGGTGTGGCTGCCATGCATTTGTGCATTTTGCATAGCTTACCTTTTGGTGCTCAAAGTGAGATTGCACAAGTCTCCATAGAACTTGGGCCAGCTAGCACCAGATCGTAGCCAGGAACGTAAAGCAAGTCAACAGCAATGGAGAATGTACTTGCAAGAAGTTTCAACACACCCCATAAGCTTCTCGTAAATATCCTTCACTATATCTACAGTGAAGACCTTCACCAGCAGCAGACATAGACACACACAGAGACAGGGACTCATACACACACATCACACACAGAGACCCACGCACTGCCTCAACTTACTCGGACACACACACAGACAGAGACTCATACACACACAGACATAGATACACACATACAGAGACCCACACACTGCCTCAACTCACTCGACTTAACACTTCACACTGAACACTTAACAGATAACTCACACTCTGACTTCCTACGTGATGAAAAGTGCTTTCGGGCCACTCGTCGTCTAGTTTTCCTGAGAATCTTGTTGAACATTTCGAGAGCATATGTTTGAACATTTAGAGTGCGTATGAAATTATATTTATGAAAGGTCGCCTCCGAGGGGATAAATCACCATGTCGAACATTGCATTTTTGTTCCTGCCTCTCGCGTTCTTTTCCCGCTGTCCTACCTTTCGTGTCTCCATGCTCTCAAGTAGAAACAAGAAACTACTAGTAGCAAGTGCATCGCTTCCGTTCGCACATTCTGAGGTCCTTCCACGTGGGCCCTCTGGGGGTTTTATTCTTGAAAACCAACGTGGAGCAGAGCGCGGCCACATATGCAGCTTGGACATGTTGATAGCTGTGAATGAGGCATTACACACTGCTCTAAGGTTTGTATGGACTTGCCACGGCTCTTTTCATTGCATACCGGCACGCTGTTCCTACAGGGGCCGAGGCAGGTGCAAGTGTAGAAGTTTAGTGTAAACGACAGAATTATAGAGAGGGATGCAGTCACCCAGTGAAGTCACCTGAAGGACATTTAATCCCACGGAGCAAGTTCCTGTTGCGGTTCTCATCTCTTTCATTGATATAGACCTTGTCCTGTCGGAAGATGTTTGTGGATCTTTGTTCTTTGTAGACTAGATCCTGTATATAGACATGTCGTTGACCCGTTGACCGATTCCTAGCTGAGCTGTTTTTGGTTGCAAGTTTTGCATTGTTGATGCAATCAGCTCCGACTAGCGTCGCGACATTATTTGTAAAATCTGCAACCTCTGACTCTACATCCAAAAAGTGCTTTTTGACTCATGGCGAAAGTGCGTAGAGCAAGATTCCTGCACCGGATTCTCAACCGTGGCAGACAGATTTGTTCTGCAGATTCTGCAAACCAATCGATTTTGGGGAGTGCGGAGCAGATTTTTGCCAGCACCAAGTGCTGAAGATCTGCAAGAGGCCGACGACATCCCTTTAAAATCCAAATATCAAGAACAGACATCGCTCTCCAAATGACTAATGTCCAACTACATTGCGCTCTAGCAGGCTTTGAACACCTGAAACAGAAGAGCAGCAGGACTTGCTGCGCAGAATAGCATCTATCAAAATGTATCGAAATGTTGCTTCAATCCACTCCAGGAATAGTCGAAAAAACGGCGTTTGAAGCCCACTAAAGAATACAAAGAGAAAAACAAAGAGAACATATAGAAGGAAGAAGGACTGTGCAATAAAGAGACAATGCGTTGAAACAACTTGGACGCAGAGCTTGCAAGCACTTGTACTGACAGGCCCAGCATCTGGGTTCGGCAACTTTTCGGATGATTTCTTGCCGCGCACATTTTGTGTTGCTCAGCACTTGCAGTGCAATGTGCAGGATGCATTTCGGCACCTTGAGCTCATTTTGTGGCTGCTGGGAGAGACTGCAGGTTCGAGCCCAAAATCTTTGTCTGCATCGCGTGCATTCTTGTTGCCGGATGCATGGTTCATCCAATGCCTTTTTAGGACTTGTTCCTTGCAGGCTTGCTGTTTAGACAAACATAGTGCCTCATTGAGGAACCTTTAGCGGCGGAAGCAACATTAACGGTTTGTGTGTAATGTTGGAATTTGAATATACAATAAACCATCCCCCCCAAAGGCAAGCACCTGAGGGAGAGTGAGTAAACAACTTGCAGGTCAGAAGAGTTCCAGAAATCAAGCAAAACCCTGGAAGAGGCTAAGTAAGAATTTGAAAGAGCAGTGATAGAAGTCGAGATTAATCAAAACACCTGAAAACCTGATTTAAAAACACCTTGCCGGAGAAAGACACTTTCTATTACTCCCCCATAAACTATTCAGGGTGTGGGAATGTTATTGTTGGGAAAACTTTTTGCTATTCCCTCCCCTTGACTATTTTGGATTGAACATAACTTATTGTCGATTTCGAGATGAAATCTTGTCCACCATGGATCACAGAACCATGGTATGCTGTTTGATGCACCTTGGCTCCACCTGGACCCACGCAGAGCGGTGGGACTCATGAGCTTGACGCCATGGCACTTTGAGAAAAGAGCGAGTTGACTTCGTGTGCGGCCGCTTTGTTTACCTGGTTTGGAACTTAGTGTGTCCACTTACTACTTTCTACAGCTCCGGCTACCAGAAAGTGACATTGGTAGCGGAGCTCCCGGCCAGGGAGCTCCCGCGCCACTTCGCTACTACAACAACCACCACCTCAACCTAACCTTCATCCACTACACCTACACCCGTCTCTTCTTGCTTGTCGAGACCCTTGTCCTTGACACCTTAGGCGGTGAGTTCACGCAGTGCAGCTGTTGGCCTCACTACTTGTTTGAGCTCCCCCTTGTGCAGGACTGGGATGGCTTCTGCTGAAAAGAAAGCATACCGTTTGATACCACGTTGTGTCACCACCCAAAGTTCAGGGAAGCAGCGCATCATCGACAATGCTGACCAAGGCGGGCAAACAATGTACTCTACCGATTTAAACTTGGTTCTCTGCTCACCCCTGCGGCCGGCGCAGCGCATTCAGGCCACCCTGGCCGCCATGACGGTGGCACAGCAGCAGGAGGCAGCTCAGACCGACGCCTGGGAGACAGGTCGATGCCTACCGCCATTCGCCCATGCGAGAGTGTGATACCCTTGGCTGCGTGGTCGTGTTCTACCATCATGAGCGGAAAGAGCCGGCGTACCAAGTCTATGCAGGTCTCCTCTTTGGTCTTCCACTGGCGGTGACGTCTTTCAACCGATATTCTCGTCTAGTTGAGGCTCTGGGGGCGGCGTTTTTGTCGCCCCTTGGTGAGTCTATACTTTGAGATGATGCTTCGCTGACCGATTGGCGCTCCAGCCAATGGGCATTTGAAACCCTCAACGAGTTACTCGGCACTCCATTCTCCCCGGACAAAAGGCAACCTATGGCAGCTGCTGGGACCTTCCTTGGCTTAACCCATGATCTGACCAATGCCGCGGGCATGTTTCCGTTTGGGCAAGAGACAAGCTCCATGAGAAACTTTGACAGATGATCTCCAAGGCCTGGAGCGACCGGGTGCTCTCTCCTGGACAAGCGTCCAAGATCTATGGTCTGGCAAATTTCTTGGAGCAGGGCATGTATGGTCGCATTGGCTGCAGTGGCTTAGGCGCCATCAAACAGCGTCAGTTGTCCAAGGGTAGGATGCTCACCTCTGAGCTGGAGACTTGCTTTGCGGTGTTTGATGCTGTTTTGAGATGCACCCAGCCCGGGAGATCGATATCATTCCTCGCGAGCGCCCTCGGTTTGTGGCCGCTTCGGATGCTGCGTCGTTGGAGATCCCGCAGCAGGGTACCAGGGGCTTTCTTCTGGTGTTCTTCAATGGCCTTGTCCAAGAACGTTTGGGTTATCCCGGGCCTCATGTACCAGATTTGGTCTCTGGGATTGCGCAACTAGAGCTACTTCAAGTACTGATTGCCCTGGTTACGGTTCCTGAGCGGTTTTGCGGGCGTAGCGGTGTTTGGTACATAGATAATACAGCCGCCCTCATGTCCCTTATCAAAGGACGTTCGGCTAGTGGAGACCTTGAAAGGATGAGCAGTTTAATCCACCTGTTGCTCTTCTCGTTGAGACGTTGGATTTATTGGGAGTGGGCGCCATCCAAATCCAATTGGGCCGATGCAATCAGCCGAGAAGGATCCCTAGACGAACGGCGCCGCTCCCATGGTTTTTCATGGGCTCTCGCACGCTTGCCGGTGTTGCTATGGTTCCTCCCGTTGCGAGCAGCTGTTCGCTTGGGAGAATTCCTGTAAAATGCGTTGGGGTGAAATGCTTTGGGGGTTTTCGAATCTGGTTGCTGATTCATCCTGGTGTCGAGGGATGGTGCAACCAGGGAGGAGGTCCTGAGGATTCAGGACGTACCAGCGCATTATTCCCAGGGCGGGGTTGTACCATAACACGGAAGTGAATGTGTGAGAGCGCGAAAGAAAAAGTGAGCGTGGAGTAGCGCTCACTGGGAGACTTATGGTGAATGCGTGAGAGCGTGAAAGAAAAAGTGAGCGTGGAGTTGCACTCACTGGGAGACGTGTGACGTATGATGAATTGTAGTTCACATTTAAGGTCTTCATCTTTCTTTTCTGTTCTTCTTTCTGACCTTCTACACCCTTCTCCGGTGAAGTAGAGGTAATTTGTACGATTGCCCGCTCCACTTCTTTTCCTCCTATCATCTCTGTTCTCAAGATTCTTGTATCCTGCCGCAAAAAATACCATATCCTCTGGTTGTGCTGGCTCATAGCTGAAGATTGTGATTGAAGGAATGACTGCGTCATCATCAAAGAAATGCTCATCAAGTTCCTCCTTTATCATCATGCTATAACAATATTGAGGCATTAGCCATCGACTTCCTCTTTCACCCAAGTGGTTCTCATCAACTCTGGTGACTCTTCCACTTCTGGAATGACTCAATAAGCTTCCAACTGCAGTCCATGCTTCATTGAATCTCCAGCCTCTTGCCTTTTCCAAAGCTTCAGGCACTTGCACGTCCAAGCAGCTCTCATCTTCATCTCTAATGACTCTAATGCGGCCTTGAACTGTCAAAGAGCGATTTTGCAAGTCACGAAAGCTAGCATGCTAGCTGAGTTCTTCTTTGCTTTAGCAATGTTGTGGTGGGAGGGGCTGCGTGCCTTAAAGATTGATATATCAAGCTAACCCCCCCCCCCGCGGTTCAACTCCCAGCTGCGCCGTGTAGGGGGTTGGTTGAACGTGGTTGGTTGGGTGTAAACGGTGGCTTGGTGTAAAGGGTGCTGCTGCTGCTGCCGCTCTGCTGCTTGCTGCTGCTGTTTGCTGCTGCCGCTGGTTGCCGCTTTTGTAGCTGCTGCTTTGCTACTTGTTGCGGCTGACGACGCCGCTGCTACTGCTGCTTGCTGCTTGCTGCTGCTGCTTGCTGCTTGCTGCCGGTGGTGCTTGCTGCCGGTGGTGCTTGCTGCCGGTGGTGCTGCTGCTGCTGCGGCTTGATGCTGCGCTGCTGCTGCGTGGCGCTGCTGGCTGGCTGCTGGTTGGTGGTTGCTGCTGGCTGCTGGCTGCTGGCTGCAGGCGGCTGCTGCTGCTGCTGCTGCTGCTGCTGCTGGCTGCTGCTTGCTGCGTAGGACTTGTACTTCACCGTTACAAGTTGTTTACCCCTATATATTTCTAACCTAATGCATGCATAAGCGGGTGGTAAATTTACCCCCCAGGCTTGCTATAACCATACACCGGCTATTTCCTCAAGACACTCTATTCTTGATACCTTTTACCAGTGCTTATCCTACACTACGGACGCCCTAGTGTAT